GTTAATCATTACTTCGATCCCGAAGGCCAACGTAATAGGACCGAAATCCTATGATGTTATCCCATGCTAATGTATACAGAGCGTAGGCTTGTTTTGAGCACTCTAAGTTCTTCAAAGTAACAGCGCTGGAGGCACGACCCAGCCAATTAAGGCCAGGAGCGCATCACCGACAGAAGGGACGAGTAAACCGGTGCACACCTGAAGGCGGACCGGCCGACCCAACCCAAAGTCCAACTACGAGCTTTTTAACTGCAACAACTTAAATATACGCTATTGGAGCTGGAATTACCGCGGCTGCTGGCACCAGACTTGCCCTCCAATRGATCCTCGTTAAGGGATTTAGATTGTACTCATTCCAATTACCAGGCTCGTTTGAGCCCGGTATTGTTATTTATTGTCACTACTTCCCCGTGTCAGGATTGGGTAATTTGCACGCATGCTGCCTTCCTTGGATGTGGTAGCCATTTCTCAGGCTCCGTCTTCGAAATCGAACCCTAATTCTCCGTCACYCGTCACCACCATAGTAGGCCACTATCCTACCATCCAAAGTTGATAGGGCAGAAATTTGAATGATGCGTTGCCGGCACGAGGGCTGTGTGATCCGTCGAGTTATCATGAATCATCACAGCAACGGGTAGAGCCCGCGTTGACCTTTTATCTAATAAATGCATCCCTTCCAGAAGTCGGGGTTTGTTGCACGTATTAGCTCTAGAATTACTATGGTTATCCGAGTAACAGATACCATCAAACAAACTATAACTGATTTAATGAGCCATTCGTAGTTTCACAGTCTGAATTTGTCCATACTTACACATGCATGGCTTAATCTTTGAGACAAGCATATGACTACTGGCAGGATCAACCAGGTAGCATTCCTCTTTGACGCAGCCCGTCACGCAAGGACAAGCCAAGACATGACGAACTATCATTTTAGAGAAGCGAGAACGCTTAACGAGGGCAGATGCAGGATCGTGTAAGACCCATGCCCACATCAGGTTCCGTATACAAGAGAGCAAGCGATGCTTCAAGGGCCACATCATCGATGCAAATGCACCAACAAGGTGGATCATGAAACCCGCTTCAAGGTTCATCCCACGCCACATGAACGACGCATGACGAAAAGGGACATCCATAAACCCACACGTTACCATCGGTTAGGTATGCAACACAGGAAACCCACAAAATGCTCAAGACAAAAGAAGCCTTGAACACAACTGAAGAGGCATGCACGCGTGGATGTTGCTGCGCAAGCAGACAGCCAACCACCTGTAACAAACCAAACACCACTCATGCACCTTTAGGGTCGATATTCCCGAAAACCATCCAACTAGTAGCGACCCACCCAACTCAAAAGTTGAGTAAGCAACCAAAAGCCAAAACAATCCCCAGAATGCATTGAACAATGCGAAAATAACAATGAGAACCATGAATCCAACATGCCTCGATGCATGACCCACATCACCATGTCCTATACACATATGACCGGTTACTGGCCTCGGCGTGCGCAACCAATCGTGCTTCGAACAAGGATCAATGGGCTACCCTTGCCACCGTACATGACCCGCATCACCATGTCCTCGGCATCGGTCACTGGCAAGAGCCTGTGCAACCAATCGTGTTTCAGTTGAGGTTCAACGGGCTGCCCGCTAGCAAAAACAAAGAAGAAACCTTGCCTCAATGCATCACCCACATCACCACGTCCTAGGCATATATGACCGGTCACTGGCACGGGCTTGTGCAACCAATCGTGCTTCAGACAAGGATCAACGGGCTGGCCATCAATTCTAGCAACTTTTCATCGATATAGGATCATTCTCGTTGGGTCCGATGCATGACCCGCATCACCATGTCCTAGGCACATATAACCGGTTACTGGCCTCGGTGTGCGTAACCAATCGTGCTTCGAACAAGGATCAACAAGCTGTCCTTGCCACCGTGCATGACCCGCATCACCATGTCCTCAGCATCGATCACTGGCACGGGCCTGTGCAACCAATCGTGCTTTGGTTGAGGTTCAACGGGCTGCCCACTAGCAAAAATATAGAAAAAACCTTTCCTCAAAACATCACCCACATCACCACGTCCTAAGCACATATGACCGGTCACTGGCACGGGACAGTGCAACCAATCGTGCTTCGAACGAGGATCAACGGGATGGCCATCAATTCACTAGCAACTTTTCATCGATATATGATCATTCTTGTTGGGTCCGATGCATGACCCACATCACCATGTCCTAGGCACATATGACAGGTTACTGGCCTCGGCGTGCGCAACCAATCGTACTTCGAACAAGGATCAACAGGCTGCCTTTGCCACCGTGCATGACCCGCATCACCATGTCCTTGGCATCGGCCACTGGCACAGGTCTGTGCAACCAATCGTGCTTCGGTTAAGGTTCAATGGGATGCCCGCTAGCAAAAACAGAGATGAAACCTTGCCTCAATGCATCACCCAAATCACCACGTCCTAGGCACATATGACCGCTGACACGGGCCTGTGCAACCAATCGTGCTTCGAACGAGGATCAACGGGCTGGCCATCAATTCACTAGCAACTTTTCATCGATATAGGATCATTCTCGTTGGGTCCGATGGATGACCCGCATCACCATGTCCTAGGCACATATGACCGGTTACTGGCCTCGGCATGCGCAACCAATCGTGCTTCGAACGAGGATCAACAGGCTGCCCTTGCCACCGTACATGAACCGCATCATCATGTCCTCGGCATCGGTCACTGGCACGGGCCTGGTGCAACCAATCATGCATCGGTTGAGGTTCAACGGGCTGCCTGCTAGCAAAAACAGAGAAGAAACCTTGCCTCAATGCATCTCCCACATCACCACGTCCTAGGCACATATAACCGGTCACTGGCCTAGGCCTGCGCAACCAATCGTGCTTCAGACGAGGATCAACATGCTGGCCGTCAATTCCATAGCAACCTTCCTTCGATATCGGATCATTCTCGTTTACCAAGTGGTCTAGGCCAGGAGGAAGACCTTTGATTCGATATAGCGACCCATGCTCCAACTAGTGTCTCCCGATCAGTGATTTGGCTTGTTCTGATCGATGCCCTGAGACACTCTATACCCCCCCATATATACCTTATGGACAAAAARCAAAGTGACAGGAACAAACATTGATTTTTTGAGGAGTCATAATTTTTGAAATAGGCACACAGTTTAGCCGATGCACAGGCAATGCTGGGCACGACGTGCGGGAACGGGTGCCCCGTGTGCGGGGAACGGGCACGACGTGCGGGGAACGGGCGACGTTCTCGTGATCGAGGCACGACGTAGGGGCTTCACGAAGTGGGGGGGGGGAGCCAGACCCCATGGTCCCCCCATATATACCTTATGGACAAAAAGCAAAGTGACAGAAACAAACATTGATTTTTAAGGAGTCATAATTTTTGAAATAGGCACACAGTTTAGCCGATGCACGGGCAAGGGTGGGCACGACGTGCGGGAACGGGCACGCGACATACGGGAACGGGCACCCCGTGTGCGAGAAACGGGCACGGCATGCAGGGAACGGGCGACGTTCTCGTGATCGAGGCACGACGTAGGGGCTTGCGTGCTGGGCATCATGCATTTGGCTAACCTCTTCGTGCCACACCCCGTGCCATGGATGGCCACGAAGTGGGGGGGAGCCAGACCCCATGGTTCCCCCTACATATATCTTATGGACAAAAAGCAAAGTGACAAGAACAAACATTGATTTTTTGAGGAGTCATAATTTTTGAAATAGGCACATCGTTTAGCCGATGCACGGGCAAGAGTGGGCACGACGTGCGGGGAACGGGCGCGCGACGTGTGGGAACGGGTGTGCGACATGGGGGAACGGGCACGCGGCATGGGGGAACTGGCACGTGGCATAGGGGAACGCACACGCTGCAACATGGGGAACAGGCACGCCGTGTGCGGGGAACGGGCACGGCGTGCGAGGAACGGGCGACGTTCTCTTGATCGAGGCACGACGTGGGGGCGTGCGAGCTGGGCATCACGCATTTGGCTAACCTTTTTGTGCCACACCCAATGCCTTGGGCGGCCATGGCGTGGGGGGGAGCCAGACCCCATGGTCCCCTCTATATATACCTTATGGACAAAAAACAAAGTAACAGGAACAAACATTGATTTTTTGMGGAGTCATAATTTTTGGTAGGAGGCCCAAATGGGGTTGGTTTTGGATGAAACTTTGCGTGATCCTTCGGGGACATAAAAAAACAATGTTCCAACAAAAAAAACTGGATTTCGGGTCGGGATTTTTTCGGGGGCTGGCCCGGGGGGTGAAATAGTACCGACGGGCGTTTGCGGCCGTTTCACGATCAAACGAAGCCGGTTTTGCACGAAACTTTGCATGAGCCCCCGGGAACATATTTAGACACTCCCCAAAAAATGAGATGCACTTTTACGGCCCGGTATTTTCCCGGTTCGGGCCCTGGGAGCCGGGATTGCCGACGGAGGCGTTTACGGGGCATCATGATCAAACGGGCATGGATTTGGACAAAACTTTGTGTGACCCATCAGGAACACATATGAACAATGTCGGGACACAAAAACCTTGTTTCGGGGTCGGGATTCCCGGGCCTGGACGTCCCGGAGGGCGTGTATGGCCGTTTCATAATCAAACGGGAACGAATTTGGATGAAACTTTGCGTGAGCCTTCGGGAACATATACAAGGGCGATTCCCACCTTTACATGAGGTTTTTGGGCTGGGATTTATTGGCATGGACCCCGGGGACGTCTTCGGAGGGGCTGTACGACCATAACCCGAAGGCATGGGGTCGAATTTGTACGAAACTTTGTGTGACCCCTCCCGGACATATGTAAGCCCGATTTCGACAATGAGATGTGGGTTTTCGCATTTGTGAAGACTTGGAGCAGCGTTGATCGTTGTGCCGGGCTCGAATAAAGCAGGATTGACTAGAGACTTTCCATGAGCGTTATGTGGGAGGACTTCCAATTAATGAATTGTTTTTCAAGCCGCTTTGGTTCATGGATCGATGTGCTTCGCATGGCCCGGCTTGCATTGCCATGCTTGAAGGCCTTGTAACAACTCTTGGCCCGACTCGCCTGGGCATGGCATGCTTGGTATCGTCGTGCGGGACAAGGCATCGGGCGTTCTTGGCTTGGCTTGACCCGGCTTGCCTGGGCCTGGCATGCTTGCTAGCGTCATGCGGGCACAAGGCACCGGGCGTGCATGTCTTGCCTAGGCATGGCATGCTTGGTAGCGTCATGCGGGCACAAGGCACCGGGCGTGCTTTGCTTGGCTTGGCCGGGGTAATGTGCTTAAAATGTTATTATATATGAAATATTTACCTTATCTCATGGGTGAGTGTAATTAATTATTTTAAAAACCTTCACCACCTTATTGTTTTAAAATAGTATTATTATGAGATAAGTGTCTATTATCTCATTGGGATGTGGATGAAGTAGAAAAGAAGGATAAGAAAACTTTTACTGTATGTGTGCTCTTGTATGAAAAAGAAAACAGTCCTATAAAAGAGAAGATGAAAAGCTGATTATGTGATTTCTATTCGAAATCTTGTTATTGTGTTAATTCAACTTCATCTACATATAAATAAGGTGTGTTTAGTTTATATGGATGAACCACATGGATCTTACATGAAGATGATGATAAAACTATTTCTGAATGCAATTTGAGCAAGATGATGGAACTAGGAATAAAACCGTATGGTTCTTTATATGAGTTACTGTTATAAAACTGTTTGATACTATTATTGGCAAAATGGTGGTTTTTTATCATGATTATATCATGTGACGTAATAAGGGTGGCATAATCAAGAGCTGTGTAAATTTGAAATAAGGGTGACATAATTAGGAGTTGGGTGAATTTGCGATAAGGGTGGCATAATCAGGAGCTGGGTAAATTTGTGATAAGGGTGGCATAATCAATTTCTGGAAATGATTATCTTTTTGATAATGAGATTTTGTTATTGCATCCTTATGATGCGATGATCATGAGTTATCACATCTGTGTGATGTTAGGACTTGTGTTATCGTATACTATTGATGAGACGAAATGATTTGTTTTAAAGAAACTAGAGGAGCTCTAGTTGACCAGAGGGCCTCTAGTTTTTTTGGTTTATGGATGGCTTTACTTCTGGTTATTATTTGAACTTTGGAAAATATTTCAATGCATGTTAAAGAAACTAGAGGGCTCTAGTTGATCTTCATATTTAACCAGAGGGTCTCTGGATGTAATTGGAACTCATTCTTTAATTACTGTTGACCTAGAGGCTCTGGATAGACGAACCAGAGGCTCTGGTTGGTAAGAATAGAGGGCGTCTGATTGGCCTTGTCTTTTTATATTGTCCTTACTTATGGGGATAAGTAGGAGACCTAGAGGCTCTGCATGTACAATGCAAAGGCTCTGTGTTTGAGATGTGGAAAAGAGCATGCTTATCTGTGATCTTTTGAAATACTTGTTATATATACAAGTTATGTACAAGGATGTTGTGGGAAAATTTGTAGCTACATTTATAGTGTAGCTTTTGTATATTTGGGACTAAATATGAGTATTTATATTTTTTTTATGTATGAAATACTTGGTTATATGCAACTGTGATTCTAGGGATGTTACAAGTTTGGTATCAGAGCCTGAGTTTAAGGGATTTAGATATTTAGTATGATGCCTAGAATTAAAGTGAAATATTTTCATATTAAGGGTCCTTGACATATGTAGAACCATTGGAATAAATATGATGAGGTAAGAAAACAATATGTAAGGTAAAATCAAATTACAACTAGCCAATGTAATTATGAATTTACAGGTGCAGATTTGTACTTGAATACCTTATTATATTTTGAGAATGTGATTATGTGAAAATCAAATCTTGCAATTTGATAGAAGGAAACTCATTTAAGAAGATCTAAAGGGATTGCTCTTACAAGCCTTGATGAAAGAGAAAGTTCACCCAAGTATATTCAAGAGATTCTACCTGTTAGTCGAAGTAGAGGAAGAGGCAGGGGAAAGGTCCGAGGAAGAGGGCGAAATATTCACCATGAGGTTCATCCAAAACAAGGAGAATCTATACAAGAAAATGTTAATGTGGAACGATTTAACATCGAGACTATGTTACTCGGGACATGTTAGTCGAAGAAATAAGTAAGCTTCGAAACACTTTAACTTATATTTTGGGAATACATGCCAGAGTAGAAACATAATGAGTGGAAATAAATCCATAAGTTCATACTACAAATGAAAAAGGGGGTGATATTAAAATGTTTTTGACGTGTAAACCCCAACTTTTTATAGAGAGAGAAACCCTGATAAAGGCCATGTGTTGGCTAAAAGAAATTGAATCAATCTTAAACATAAGGGGGCTTTTGGTTTGCAGAATAATTTTTGAAGGAACGGAATCTATCAAAAGTGTTGATCCCAGATCTCTCAATAACACTAATAATCGAGTTAAGAATAACCAAATTATAGTGTTTTAATGAACAAAGTGATGAACACTCAAGAATAAATTATGAACATTAAAGAACAATCTTGAGTGTCAAAGGTTTCACTTTATTAATAAGAAAAACGTAAAAGCGACATTTAATACAATAGRYYTAATCACCTATTTATACTAGTAAGCTAATTAGAAGATAACTATCTAGTGAGACTATTTAGCTAAGCTTCTACTAACAGATAATGTTTATCTAAATTATGGATAAGCTATAATATTAAGATAAACTTGAAATCCAACTGTCAACTTGTCATCTCCAGCTGTCTTTCATGGGATGATGAATCAACCTTATATTCATATCTTCATCGTATGCCTCTGGTTGAATTGCTGAAGAAAACTCTAAGTGTTGTTGACCAGAGGGGTGATGAAGATATTCTTTCCATCGCATCTCTGGTTGTTCATCGACCCTCTGGTTGTTCTCCAGACTTGGTCAATTCTGCCTTGATGTCTTCATCGGTCTTCTGGTTCTTCATCACTTATTGTTTTTCATTACTTTTACACTTTATGGATAATGGGGTCTAACAATCTCCCCCTAAGTAATGAAAGAACAAACAAAAACTAATATAGGAACAATTTTGAAGAACAAAGACTAATAGAAAAGCATCAAATTCCAAATTTTCATTGCATGATGAATTCTTAGAGTACTGGAAGCAAAATACATCATATTAAGGCAAGAATCTACAACTCATCATGATCTACCTTGAGATATATCCCAGAAGCGCAGAAACAGTCTTCGATAGCCGATGACTGTTGATATCTCATGAATGAGTTGATTTCCATCTTCTCTTGGCACATGATTTCTTCCAAGTCTTTTTCTGATGACTTTCTGAAACCATTCAAGTGTATCAGTTGAATACTTGAATGCCTCAGTTAGTATGAAGAATTTCTTTACCCCGAATTCATTCTTGTAGACAAGTTCAAGCTTGGGTTGAGTTAAGACTGAGGGAGATCTCTTCTTCTGCAGGCCAGGAAAGTCTTCATTTGGTGGAGCACATGAGAGTCTTTCGATGCCTAAGTGAAGAGCAATTTGAAAATCACTCTTGGCTCGATGCTTCACCAGGGTCTCCATTGTCTTCACAACAATTCTGTTTGCCATCCCAACTCTGATGCCATGATCCTGTCGTTGAGCCTTGTATGCATAAAGTTTGATCAAGTCATAGGGATTGAGGTTGATCAAGTCATTGTCATTGAACACGCTGATTTGACCATGTGCTCTTTCCACTGTGTACTCGATGAATCTTATGGCTCTTTTGGCGAAGGTCCTCACTTTTAGGTCCATTACCCTCCTTATCCCATCGTTTGAGAAGACAGCCTGTGGTGCTTGGGTGGTCTGTCTAATAAACCTATGGTGTAGGAGGTCCATGGATTCTAGCGATAGAACCGGAGGATTGAGAGTCAAACCTTCTTCGTGATCGTGATACAAGTATTGATGGATATTTTCCATCATTATGGGTTCCCTGGGTGGCAGCTCTAGACGTCTCCTCAGCGACTCCATGTTCTGGATTATTTCATCGACTAGGCTCCACGGAGGTTGCCTTGACGAAGAGGGAATGTCCGCTTGCATCGTGGTTGGTTCGATTGGGGTTTGAGTTTGGGTGATGGATTGTGTATCGATTGGGGGTTGTGTTTGGGTAGTGGGTTGTGTTTTGGTTGGCAATGGGATGGTTTTTTGGGTTGGCTGTTTTTGGGGTAATGAAGGTTCATCGGGTTGTGTCTGGGGTTGAGGATGTTGAGGTGAAGGTTGGATGTGTGTTTGTTCGGGTTCATCGGGGAGGTTCAGGAAAGGTTGTGTTTGGCGAGGGGTTGGTGATGGGGTTAATGGTAGGTTTGGAGTAAAAGGTTGGTTGGTTTCTGTTGGTGGGGTGGATGGGTTTTCATTGGTTGATGAACTCAACACGATGGGTTCAGGGGAGGCTGGAAGGGGAACATGTACATTTTGTACATCTTTAGAGGGTTGAGCCTCTGGTTCCCTTGCTTGGGTTGATGGGGATTGTTGTTGTGTTTGGGGTTATGGTGATGGTGCAGCGGACTCCGTTTGTTGGGCTATGGTGGCCTGATTCTCCCCCTCATAAGGACCGAGACCCTGGTTATCGAGGTCTGGATCCTCATGCCTTCTTCTCTTGAGGGGGCGGCTTGATGAGCAGGAGGCCCTTGTCCTGTTCTTCTTCCATAGCCGAATGTGATCGGCTAAGGTGCGCACCCGATCCTTGTTGCACCGTTGTTCCTTCATGCGAAGAAGAGAGTCTGTTCGATCTTGCTATATTAGTAGACTCCTCCTCAATGCATTGGTCGGCTCCACCGACCTGGCAGCGAACTTGGCATTGATCTCATTGAATGATGAGATGAGTGCATTGGATAGAGCCCTGAGATCGGCTCTGGTAGCAAACTACGTGCTTGATGATGAAGCTTGTGGTGGCATGGAGGTGGTGGTGGATGTTGATGGAGGAATGAGAAGGTTGGCGATGAGATTTCTCACCTCTGCAGTGAAGGAGGAGAAGGCTGCATCGAAGGATGGGTCTGTAGAGGGAGGTGGGGTGGAGTAGGTTGGGTTAGGGTGGTTTGTATGGTGGCCATTTGGTGGGTAAGAGAGGCAAGGGTTTCACCGATTGATGAAGTGGTTTGAGGTGGGGCTTATTGAGGAATTTGGAAGATAATGGTGGTTGGTAGGGTGTTAAGGTTCTGAAGGATGGTGTTTAGCTGGGTGGTTATGTAGGTAAGGTTCTCATCGGCCTTAGTTGCCTGGGCCGTGAGGGTGGCGATGAAGTGAATGAGGATTTGGTTTCTTTGGGTGCCAAGGGAGGAGGC